GAGTTCGGGGACACTGGGGCGTGTGGGCGGCCCGGCGCTGCGGCCGCGGCGTCCCGGCGGTACCGCGACTTGGGGTGGGCGGAGGCGGAGTGGTGCGGCGAGGCCCGGCCCACGATGGGGACCTTTCCGTTGCTTTGTCCGGACTCTGCTGGGGCTCATGGCGGCGGGAACTTAAGTGAGGAAAGCAGGGGTAGTGCGCGGGCACTGTGGGACCCTGGGCCTCGGGCAGGAACCGGGCTCCTCTCGGCGCCTCAACCCCAGTGCCCTGCACAGGGGATGATCTGGGCGTCCGTGAGGCCGAGGGGCAGTCTGAGCAAGTGAGGCTCACGGGCCTGTTTCTGCTTTTCTTTCAGCCGAAGCAACTTCCCGACAAGTGGCAGCACGACCTTTTCGACAGTGGCTTTGGGGGTGGTGCTGGCGTGGAGACGGGTGGAAAGCTGTTGGTGTCAAACCTGGACTTCGGAGTATCAGACGCAGATATTCAGGTAAGAGTCGAGAGCTTCCCAGCGATCTCCTCATCCCACACAGACTGGGATATGGTCCTGAGTCCCCACCCTCCTCGGTACCTGAGCCTCCCAGTGCCCACGGGCGAGCTTAGTTCCTCTAGGAGTTGCCGTGCACATGGGAGCTTACTGGCAAGCTAGGTTGGACAGTGACAGTAGGTTACTTGGCTGGAGTACAGACTCTCTGGGGGCCTGGTAAGGCCCCTTTTTCCTTACTGAAACTGCTGAGAGTGTAAGTCGACTGCCAGGGCTTCCGGTTTTTAACAAGCCCAATATTGGGTGAACGTGAAGAAGGATTCTTAAAGCTCCTTTCTTCCTAAATGTTGTGCCCACTTCAGTGAGCTTTGTACAGCCAACACAGCATAGAGGGGGGTTGTAGCTGTGTGTTTTCTAGCCAGTTTGCCTTGAGTGACGTATCTTACCACCTCCCTCAATCTTACTATTGGCATGATTTTTCAAATTTATCTTCCATTGCAGTCCTTCATGTACTTTTTTGATTGGATTCCAAAAGTATTTAAAGTTTTTCAAACTGTTTTCAGGAATGAATCTTGGAGATGGCTGGGTCAGGATGCTGGGCCTCCCTGGGTTCTTCCCAGAGCCCAGCCATTTGCAAGACTAGTGAGCACTCACAGTGTCTCAACACTTTTTTTAAGGTGGTTTCTGGCATCCACTGGAAACCGCTTTTGGTGAACTCCACTTCCCGCTGTGTGCCTGCGGCCGGATTAGCCCCACACTCTGGGTTCCCTCTCCAACTCCCAGCCTGCCTGAGGTCAGGGCAGTTTCCATGGCGTGCTTGACTTCAGTCAGACTTTGCAGCAGGCTTAAATAGGAGGAGAGGGAAAGGTGAGCCAGAATCTGCCTTTGGGGGAGGGACTGGGGTCAGGGCTCCTGAGCAGTGGGCCCTTCCTTCCAGCTGTGCAGTCTGTTGGGCAGTTCCCCTCACTCTTGGTCTTGGGCTTTGGTATTTTGTGAAGTAGTCCTTGGGTGTGTTGTAAGTTTTTCTCCATTGGAAAAGATTTAATGCTGTGCTCTATGTTGGGGTGTTGCAACATCATGATACAGAAAGGTGTCAAGTCCCCAAATAGGCAGGGGCTGTCCAACCCAGGTGTTCTTGGAAGTTGCTTTCCCCCTGCCTCACCCCTTCCCCTTGGCTTCTGTTACCACTGCCCTGGCACCCTTGTAGAGGGCCGCCAGCAAAGACCCTGAAAGCATTTACATTCTCAGGGACTGTCCCTGGGCCTTGGAAGGAAAATGGTTTAGTTGCCTGTTAATAGTTGCTCTTTTCGGCTCCTAGGAGCTCTTCGCTGAATTTGGAACACTGAAAAAGGCGGCTGTGCACTATGATCGCTCTGGCCGAAGTTTAGGAACAGCAGATGTGCACTTTGAACGGAAGGCAGACGCCCTGAAGGCTATGAAACAGTACAATGGTGTCCCTTTAGATGGTGAGTCTGGAGCTGGGCCCAGGATACTTGTGGGGCTTGTGGAGTTTGGGGCTGGTACCTGTCCCTGTAGGAGTATGGGTGGCCCCTCTGGCTGAGGACACTTTGCATTTGCCCCTTTGTCTCTCTCTTCCATTCTGCCACCTCTCATGCTGCCCCACACATCTGGACCAACCTCTTGTGAACCCCCATCCAGCAAGCTACATCCCTCCCCTCCTTCAGCTCCTTCCGGAAGATTCACTTCTGTGAAGCCTTCTCGGAATCGCCATAGTACACCTGAGTGCGGGGCTGTAGTCGTAAAGACAAAGGTACCTGTTCTTCTTCCGTCAGGTCACCCACACCTGTCCACCCATGAGCACCCCAGACACCTGACCAAACAGCCCAACTACCTGGTCGGAGAAGGAGTGAGGAGGTGTTGGTGGGGTTTTTTATTGCCATTCTGTTCTCCCACCAACTCTCCAGGTTGTTTCCCTTGTTGGGGGAGCTGGAGGCATACTGAGGCCCTTTCCAGAGCTTGCATGGAGACCAGGGTATGGTGCCTGTGGGTTAGCTTCAGAATCTCTGCAATGAGCCCTCTTGTATTCTTTGCCACAGGCCGCCCCATGAATATCCAGCTTGTCACATCACAGATTGAAACACAACGAAGACCTGCACAGAGGTGAGTTCCAGGGTCCCTGGGGAGGGATGGGTATTGATTGGCCTGCGGTGTGTGGTCTGAGCATTCTTTAGTCCTTTAAAAGCCAGGTAGTTCAATGGGTTCTGTTTTCCTTGCTAGCATAAACAGAGGTGGCATGACTAGAAACCGTGGCTCTGGAGGTTTTGGTGGTGGTGGTGGCACCCGAAGAGGGACCCGTGGAGGCAGCCGAGGAAGAGGCAGAGGCACTGGCAGGAACTCAAAGCAGCAGCTTTCTGCAGAGGAGCTGGATGCACAGCTGGACGCCTATAATGCAAGGGTGAGTCCTGAGAGGGGCTGACCAACGTCAGGGAAGGGCTGACCAACGTCAGGGAGGGGCTGAGACCCTTGAGTGACCTTCCTCCTTCTTCTGTTTCAGATGGACACCAGCTAAACCGCTGATCTGTGTGGAGAAGACCCAGTGTTTCGTCTGCTCTCTGGAAGGAGGGGATGGGGACTGGGCTGTGTGGCCAATGACCGATTTGTTTCTTTTATGTTTTAAGATAGGATTTAAAAACTCATGTAAAGTTTTTCTTTTTTCCTTTTTTTTTTTTTTTTTTTAAATTCTGAAACAGACCTGTTTTGTACCGAGTTATTTTTGGGATAAATTTTACTGGTTGCTGTTGTGGAGAAGGTGGCATTTTCACCTTTGCCATAATAAACTAGAAATGTGTGTAGAACTGTGATTGTCTCGTGTATTCTGGGCTCTGCCCCACAGGAGGGAAGGGTGGTGGGCTGACTGGCACCTGGCGTGTGGGGTTAAGGTTCATGCTCTGGAGGCTGAGCTGCCACCTTCCCGTCTTCCCTGTTTCTGACTCCTTGCTCAAACTCGATAGGTGGGGGGACACCAGAGCAGCAGTGGCCCTTTGCCTGGAGCTGCATTTTCATTCTGCCTGTAGGTGAGGTGGGTCGTGGTCCACACTGCCCTGTCAGGAGTTCTTACACGACTGGACATTGCTGGGCTGTTCCTATTCCTTTTAAACTACGTCTGAGAAAGCTGACCCTGTGATTTGTTCCCGTGTTTCCCTATCACTTTATGACACGGGGAGTGAGGTGTCAAGGTGCTTCCTTAACTCTGTGCAAGTGTCTCAGTGTTGTCAGGTAATGTTGGTTCCAGGACCCCCACAGGTCCTAGGATACCCAGCTCCCTCATGGGAAATAGCATAGTGCTTCAGTAGAACCTGTCCATATCTTCCTATGACTTCAAAAGTCTTCTCTAGGTTATTTAAAATGCCTAAAATAAGGTAAATACCACACACAGTATGCCATATTGCTTAGTAGTAAAGGTCTATGGTAAGACCTGGGACAGCATACATGCAGTCTTTTTCAATGTTTTAAGTTTTCAGCTTGTGTGGTTGTGAGGCCCTGGCCATGTTTGTCAGAATGGCTAATGGCGGAGGCAGAGTTTTACGTTGGCTTGAGCAGGTTGAAGTGGGAAAGCCTTGTACTACCTGCAGGTGCTGGGAAGAGAGTGAGTGGAGAATGGGGCAGGGCCAAGAGCTGGTTCTAGACCTTTGTCTCCCTCCATCTTCCTGTGGAGTGCAGGAGCCCCAGGGGTAGGTCAGTGTACTGGGGAGACTGAGACCTGGACAGCAGTTCCCTTGTGCCAAGAACTGGGCACACGCCCGAACCAAGTCAGCTCCTATGTTTGGATGGGACTGACTGAGTCATCTATAGGGAGTTTGACCCAGTGGCTTTTTAACAGCGTTGCTGCAATAGATCAGCAGCTACCACCTAAGTAGCCTGCGCAAGGCCATTACTGGGAACCTAAGTAAACAAGGTACTGATTCTGACCCTCCAGCAGGGAAGGACTGCCAAGTGTCTAGTTTTGGAGTTGCTGTGGAAGGAGGGGTGGGCATGAGCAAGAATGGTTGAGTAGTGGGAAGTGAGGCTGTCCTTGAGACAGCCTTGAGGGTATAAGCATGGAGCAGACCTAAGCACGTACCCATTGCCTCACAAGCTGAGAGAGACCTGGGGGCTGGAGGGGACATGTACCAGGATACTGGCACTGCTGCCTGGCTAGGCAGTAAGTAGTGCCTGCCGGGACAAAAGAGCAGGGTTTAGGAACCTTGGGCAGAACACCAATGGAGGGGCCCAGGAATGAAGCATCTTGAGATGTGGCCTCACTGGGAAGAAAGTCTTGGAAAGGGCCAGGCATAAGGCGATGGCTGCTGACTGCTCCCTAGTGCACATGGGAGTTCGGCAGAGGCAGCTGCTTGTCCTGCAGGAAGGAGAATGCTGGGGAGTCTCTTGGCACATGGACACCAACCTGAAGTATGTGGCCTGGGAGGACTGAGCTGGTGGAGATGGGGAAGTGACATCTCGGGAACAAAAGCTAGTATTTGCCATGGGGACAGGCATGTGCAGAAGGTAGAGGACTGGGTTGATCATTTGTAACTAATATGATGGGACCAGCCCAGAACCCCCTGGACTCTGTGGGCTACTCTCTTTATGGCAGGGAGCTTTGTTCCCTCATCTGCAAAGCAGGGATGTCACCTTGTACGCTGGGCAGAGGGGATGCATCGGGATCTAAGCTGGGGGTTTTCGAGATGGCCTCTGCGTAGTCCAAGCTGGGGCCTGTTTGAGGAAGGGGGCGCGGGACTTGTTGACGGCATAGAGAGCAGGCAGAAACCAAGGGCTTGGTGGGCCTGCCGGGCATTTAAAGGGTGAGGCTGGGGCTCCCCTTGCGATGCAGTCACAGGCCAGTGTGCTCCTCTCCCCCAAGACTCCTGACTGAGAGGATGAAAAGGAACTTGGTGTTTTGCAAGTTTTTCTCCATCTTTCTTGCTCAGAGAAACGTGCCTAGAAAGGTCAGATGAAGTCAGAAGCCTAGTGTGGCTGGACTACAGAGAGTTTGTGACACAGGACATTGATATCTGGCCTCTGCTGGAGCACTATGAGGACATCTGGCCACGGAAGAGTTGGTGTCCATGTGCAGGAGGAGCCTCATGGAGTTTTTGTTTGCTTGTGGTGTCCTCTTCTGCCCCTGACTGAGCATTGAATATAAGGTCCTCCTGCTGAGTCCTACAGCCCCAGATCCCAGCTATTTATTTGTTTAAAACAAGTTCTCACTAAATTACCCAGGTTAGGCTTAAATTTAGAATCTTCCTGCCTCAATCTCTCAGAGTGCTGGAATTACAGATGTATACTACTGTGTTCTGCCGTCAAGGCCTTTACTGAAGGTGATTGACACCCATAAAATTCACCCTCTCAAAGGGGGTGTTGTCGAGAAGGTACACAGTCCAGTAGCTATTGAATTCACTGCCATCCCGTTCTGGAATATGCACCACTCCTATGCAGGTTTGTCCAGCCTGCAGGCCACTTGCAGCCTTGACAAGAAGTAATGTGCCCCTCGAGGACTGTCAGCTTCTAACTTCATTGTGTGATTTTTTTTTTTTTTTCTGGTCTTTTTGAAACAGGGTCTCGCTATGCAGTTCAGGTTGACCTTGAGCTCACTTTGTAGCTCAGGCTTACTATGTTCCACAGCAACATAGTAAGTTCAGCTTGAACTATATATAACAAGACCCTGTCTGTCTCAAAGCATAAGAAATTAGTATTATAGCCGGGCGTGGTGGCGCACACCTATAATCCCAGCACTTGGAAGGCTGGGGCAGGAGGATCATTGAGAGTTTGAGACCAGCCTGGGCTACAAAGTGAGCTCAAGGCCAGCCTGAACTACATATCGAGACCCTGTCTCAAAAAGACAAAAAACTGGGGCTGGGAATTTAGCTTAGCGGCACAGCGCCTGCCTGGCAAGCGCAAAGTTGTGAGTTCAAATCCTGGTACCGGAGAAAAAAAATATGCATGCTGACCTCACACTTGCAATCCTCCTGCTCAGCTGCCTGAGTAGCTGGGATTATTGGTGTGTGCTACCACACTCAGTCATATTGCCTAACATTGCTATAGTTTGGATCTTGCTATAGTTTGTTCCCTAAACATGCATGTTTTCCAAGGCTTGGGCTCCAGTCTGTGCTTCTATTGGGAGGTAGAAGCAGGAGGATGGTAGGTTGTTGGGGATGTGCCCTGGAGGGGGCCAGTCTCTTCCTGGATGCTTTAGGTAAGCAACCTCCTCTGCCACATGCTCTGCACTGCCCCAGGCACAGCCAGTAGGATCAGCCGGCCCTGGACTGAAACCAGGAGCAAAAATAAGTTATTCTGCCTTATAAATTGGTTATTTCAGGTGTTTTGTCAGAGTAATGGGCAGCTAACACAATTATACCATTTTATAGAAATGTTTGTCTCAACTCTTACTGTGCCCTCCCTGAAACTTTTTTTTTTTTTGGTACCAGGAATCAAACTCAGGACCTTGCACTTGCCAGGCAGGCGCTTGTACCACTGAGCTATATCCCTGGCCCTCCTGAAACTCATATAGCTAGCATCTCCAACATTTCTGTTAATGTCAGAGTGAGAACATTTCTGTTTCTCGGGTTAGCTGGGAATGCAGGCTGGGATGTAGCTTAGTCATAAAGCACTCAGCTTGCATAAGGCCCTGGTATCTATCCCCAAGGTGTTGTGCGGACTGGACATTCTAAAGGGTAATTGTGCAATTTTGACATTTGAGTTCATAGGAACAAAGTGAGAATAGTATAAAGATTTCTGGTGGGCCGGGGATATAGCTCGGTGGCATAAGTGCCTGCCTGGCAAGTGCAAGGTCCTGAATTCAATTCCTGGTACTACAAAAAAAAAAAAAAAAGAAAGAAAGAAAGATTTCTGGGGCCAGGAATATAGCTCAGCAGTGCAATGCCTGCCTGGCATGCAAGAGGTCCTGAGTTGGATTCCTGATACCAAAAAAAAAATTTCAAAAAAAAAAAAAAACACAAAAAAAAATTTCCTCTGTACCTAGAGCTCCTGGGTTGTTAGGGTTTACTACTTTTTGTTCTTAGTTTTTTTCCTTGAACTGATTAAAAGTAAGTTGGATATACCCCTAAATTGTTTTGTGGTTTCTTTTTTACAAAGACACTCTCTTACATAGTCAGACATTACCATCAATATAGTGCTATTATCTGAACTACTGAATTTAGCTGGTGTCCTAGTATACTGTGAAATGTCCTAGTCTACAACATTACATTTAACTATCCTGTTTCATATATGTGTCTGTATGTGTGTGTACCTGTGTTGAACCTAGGGCCTTCACACTGAGCAATATCCTCAGCCCATTTTTATTTTCTGTTTTGAAACTGTATCACTCTATTCCCTAAGCATAACTCAAAGTATAATCCTGCTTCAGCCTTCCAGAGTACTGGGATTATACATGCACTACCATACTCATTGTACTCTACAACCAACCCCATATCCCCACTCCACCCCCTTTTTTTTGATACCAGAAATTAAACTCAGGACCACATGCTTGCCAGGCAGGTGCTGTGGCACTGAGCTAAGTCCCCACCACACCCCTTTTGTGGTTTGGTTGGTTTGGTTTTTTTTTTTTTTTTGGTTTCTTCTTGTTGTTTTGAGACATGGTTTCAGTATGTAGTTCAGACTATCCTTGAACTCACTGTGTAGTCCAGGCTAGCCTCCTCATGGTAATCCTCCTGCCTCAGCCTTCCCAAGTGCTGGTATTACAAATGTACACCACTACACCCAGCTCCCAGACCTTTTTTTAGATTTTACTTTGAGACAAGGTCTTGCCAGATTGTCCAGGCTGGCCTTGAACTTAGAATCCCCCTGCCGCCTCTGCCTCCAAAGT